ATTTTGTTTTATGTAGAAGTCATTCTATTTTGTGGAACTGTAACGACTGTGATAATTTCTCCTTTAAGGTATTCTGTGAAGAAAATTATTTTACCTACTTGGCTTTCTACCCGAACCACCCAAAAAACAAGAGTAAAATTAATTAAAATATTTAAAAATGTATGTCTAAAATTGTTACTAAAATGCTGTATATGTTTACTTTATTTGTTATCCTATCAACGTAACCCAAGTGGGAAACTGGTTAAAACCTTTAACGTGCCTTAAATTTAATGCACTGGGCCTGTGTAAACAAATTGAGTAAATTGAGTATTACAGATGGAGAAATATATTACATAGGACTTGGGTGAAAAACGGTGTGATGATGTAGACTAGATTCAACTGGTGTAGGGTAGTGCCAAATGAACATGGTAATAAACTATCATGAACACTGGGAATTTCTTCATTACCTGATATAAACTTTTTCATGTAGCACAGTGCCCGATGGAGTTAGTCTGAATGCTGCAAACCAGTGACCCAGATGAATTTAATTCTTCACGTTTAGTAGGGACACCTGTAGCCAACATTTTGCATGTTGTACTGTGTGTCGTGAACAGAGTCTTACTCCAGTATCGATTGGAGCAACCCTACAAAGTGTCGGTTGGTAAACCACGCTGTTGCAGCTTATGTACGCTACACATGCCATACACAAAAACGTATTGTACTGTGAGGTTAACATGGGCGAACGTTTGCTCATGTCTGCAAATTCCTCGTCAGGAGAAAAATATATTGGTGTTTTGATAAATGTTAATTATTTGTTTAGGTATTTGTTTATGTCGGTATTAAAAGCATGTAGATTGCGAATTAAAATATTTCTGTCATTTATTGATGTTTTCTGTCTGGTATAACACACCAGACCCGTTTTCCTGAAGTCTTTAATTACAAAAATGCAATAATAATATCTGCAGTCAAAATATCATTTTTCGTTTACTCTATTTTCCAGCGTACTGCATCCAATGAAAATTGAATCCGAAATAGAATTTTCCCGTGAGAATTGATCGATGATAAAGCTCCTCTGACGTGTTCCGGGTCCATTTATTAATGTTTTTATGTTGTCTGGATTTAACGGCGTTTTGACCGTACGAAACTGTGTGACACGACTGATTAAAATTTTAAACTGATGTAGTATCGTACTAAATCACTAATTAAATACCGTATCTGATAACTAAACTAATCGGATGAAGCATAATCCTTGAGAAGCAAATAGTGCGCTAAGTCAGTCAAGAATTTCTCCACCTTTTATACGACCCACAGGTTCATTACCGTACTCAGAAGAGCCCGACATCGGCCACTGTTCTGAGATATAAATCCAATCCCTGTTCTCAAGCCCTGTTTTCCTAAAATCTATTTTAAAATTATCCTCACCTCTAGTCCCCCCGTGTGGTCACTTCTCGTTAGTACAAGACACCACAATTAACCAACTTATTGTGTTACTAGATGCAATAAAACACAAGGCCCTGTCATTGCATTACCTGAGCAAATTTAATCCAGTCAGCCTTACCTCCAGTCGTTTTAACAGTACCCATTCCCTATTCTGTCATCCAAATGTTAATTTTGTAAGAAGTTTCCCAACCAATTTCCTGTGTGCTTTTTATCTTTCGTCTCAATTAAACCAAAAAATGTTTAGCTCCTCTTATAAATTTTATTGAATTTTATATTGGGATTGAAGAATGTGATTTTCAAAGTTTCGTTTATTTGGTGAGAATTTAGGTTCTCATGGCGGCGATTATGAAGATGGCTGACTTCTGGGATGTTGCACAATTGTCTGGTAGAGGTCATTACTGCATCCTTTATCAGGACGATAGGTTTGTGTGGTTTATCGTCTTGATATGTTGCTTCTTTAATTCAGGTCAATTGTTTCTTGTGGTTTTATTTACGTTCAGTAGCCGAGCTCGTTTGTCAGTGAGAAAGAATTGTCCTGCACTGAATTATCGACTGACCTGCTCACGTGTCAAGATTTTCTGGGGTGAGTTAGGTGTGAGGACAAGGTTACAGTGCCATTGTCAGGTTGCATGGTCGAACGTATTTAGGTCACAATTCGTGCTAACTATGTTACAGATTACCCACAGAGTCCAGCGTTTGTTCTTTGTTTATAAGCCACCCCACGTCAGTTCTGTACATAAGCTACAATATACAGCCAGCCTTTTGAATTATAAAAGACAGTGAAAGGTGTGTGGGTAAATATGATGTAACGTGAAGATGGCTGTCTTCTGGGTTGTTGCGCTGTGTAGTCTGGTCGATGTTAACCAACGTTTCAGAGGTCATACTGCCTCCGTCATCAGGGCGATGAATTATCTACCAGACTAAACGGCTCAACAACGCAGAAGACAGAAATCTTATGACTCACCGCCGTGAAAACCTCAAATCTTACATGATGGAACGTTTACATTTATTTTAAAAAAAAGTCCTTTTCTGTTGTAGGCAGGAACCGTTTTGAGGTAAAGTAAAATTTCTTCTACTTAACATCTGTTTTATAAAGAGGTCTCAGCAAACTCTGGTATTTATATCTGCTGAATGTAAGTGCAGTGGATTGTGTCTGAATAGCTGGTAATAGGAGCTTCATGAAACTCG